ACCCCTCCCCAGGATTTATTATTGCTGCCTATTGGAGAAGTTGTTGATCATATAATGACTGGTTTTTTTTTTTTTAATGTAAGAAAAATAATTCTCAAATTTATTTTAAATGGTAGCCTTTTAATATGAGCATTCTTTTTTCATAAGTTTTGCAAGTTTCATAAGTATAGTTAATTTACAATGTGTTAATTTCTGCTGAACAGCAAAGAAACTTGGTTATACATAATTACGTATTCTTTTCAATTACATTTTACCACAGGATATTGAATATAGTTCACTGTGCTATACAGTAGAACCTTCTTTACCCATTCTATATATAACAGCTTGCATTTACTAATCCTAAACTCCTGAATCTTCCCTCTTTTATTCCCTTCCCTCCCCCTTGACAACCACAAGTCTGTTCTCTATCTCTGTGAGTTTATTTCTGTTTTGTAGATGTGTTCATTTGTGTCGTATTTAAGATTTCACATATAAACAATATCATATGGTATTTGTTTTTCTCTTCCTAATTTACTTCACTTAGTTAACTTAAGCTTTCCTAATAATGTTTTTTCTTTCTTACTAAATCACATTGTATTATTTTTATATTTTCCCCAGTTCCTCTCAACAGTCATTTGAATCTACCTGTGGTTCTTTTATTTCGTAGACATTAATATGCATGGTTCTCCACTACAGGATTCTGTTCTCGAATTTTAGTCTACTTTTATTTTCTCAATAATAATAATAACATATATATGGAATTTAGAAAGATGGTAACAATAACCCTACATGCAAAACAGAAAAAGAGACACAGATGTATAGATCAGACTTTTGGACTCTGTGGGAGAAGGCGAGGGTGGGATGTTTCAAGAGAACAGCATCGAAACACATATATTATCTAGGGTGAAACAGATCACCAGCCCAGGTTGAGTGCATGAGACAAGTGCTCGGGCCTGGTGCACTGGGAAGACCCAGAGGGATCGGGTGGAGAGGGAGGTGGGAGGGGGGACCGGGATGGGGAATACATGTAAATCCATGGCTAATTCATCTCAATGTATGACAAAAACCACTGCAATGATGTAAAGTAATTAGCCTCCAACTAATAAAAATAAATGAGAAAAAAAAAAAAACTCAAAAAAATAAAATTAAATTAAAAAATAAATGAAAAAATAAAATAAAATAATAATAATAATACATTTGGATGGATTTGTAAATATTCAATCTCCTCTTTATAGCATTAATAGAGATGCTACAGAAACTGAACCAAGTATAAGACCAGGTCCACAGAGCTTAGCAGTGCAGGTGGATGTCAAAGATGCAGAGACTTGCTGGAATGTGATTAAACTTTTCTTCAGGAATGGCTCAAAGCTGAGATGCTTAGAGAAAGGAAAAGATAAAACACCACTCTGTATAGCTATATAATTGTGTTTCTTCAGATTCCACAATCTTTCAATGAGTTTACTAACCACGTCACTAATATATGTGGTAACCTGCTACTTATAACTAGACTTATAACTAGTCTTCTATTAATGTCCAAACTTTTTAACTGGAGCTGGAATGGAAAAACACTATGATGACTAAGTTACTCAATTACCTAACTAAGCTACAACCAGCATACAACTTAAGTAACTAATTTCATGCTTTTAAAATTTAAACCAAGCATGCTATTTTTCCCCACAAATTAAATCTATTATCCCACAGTTTGTTGAGTTTAAAATAATAATTTTTTAAAAGCTACTAAAAAAATACTAGCAAAACTGTATAAGAGCATGAGTGTGTGTTAGGAGGAGGGAAGAGACAGAGTAGTTATATGCATAGCTACATAATTATTTCAATATTCTTTTGATTTTACAAATTTATTTTTTATAGAAGTCTCATTATAACAAATACAGCTGACTCTTGAACAATGTGCAGGCTCGGGCACCAAACCTTCATGCAGTCAAATACCTGCATATAAGTTTTGACTCCCTAAAAACTTTACTAATAGCCAACTGTTAACCAGAAATGGTACTGATAACATAAACAGTCAAGTAACATATATTTGTATGCCATATATATAATATACTATATTCTTATCATGAAGTAAGCTAGAGAAAAAAATATTATGAAAGTCATAAGGAAAATGCATTTACAGTACTGTATTAATTGATATCGTAAGTTAACAACATCTGTTTACAAGATGAATTGTCTGTCAGTACCCACATCAATATTGTTTTATATGATACAAAACACTACAGATGTAATACATATTGTTAACACCAGATATCAAAAATTAAATAATGTAAAAAAATAAATTCATATTTACAAGTATGATTGATACATTGATAACAGAAGCAACGATATGACTGCTTTATGTTAGCATAGTGTAATCGATATAAGACTATATACTAATGAATGAAACATTATAAAAATTTCACAGCATACAATATTACAATCATATTAATAATACAGTATTGGAAACATTGTTACACTCTTAAAAAGCCATTTATCTGTGATGATAAATTGATACATGGTTTCTTCAATGATAAGAGAGATATAAGTAAATTGTAATACAATGTATTTCTTTCAAAGTAAAGTTATAAAACAGTAAGGAAACTAACCAATTATTAACTTTATATTAAGGGTCATTTACATTATGCCTATGTAAGGATAGGTTATCCAGATCAATACAAGTCTTGTATAGTATGTTCTATACAATGAAAACTTATGGGATGATGACAAAAAAAGGTCTCATATAGTGTTTGCTGTAAGTTTATTAGATATTCATTTGAAGACTCTAATAGGCACACAACAGTTAAGTTTCTATAGAGAATTATGATTACTATCATTAAGTGGAAATGGATCATCATAAACTCTTCATCCTCACCATTTATATGTTGAGTGGACTGAGGAGGAAAAGGAGCACCATTCCTGCTGTCTCAGGAATGGTAAAGGCAGAAGATGGAGGAGGCAGAAGGGGAGGCAGGAGAGGTGGGCACTTTACAGGTAACTTTACAGAAATACATCACAATTTCTGTCTGAATTTTTTACCTTTTCATTTCTATAAAACTTGTTTCTATATGGTACAAATCCTTCTTCCACTGTTTAGTTTTAGCACCTGCATCATGGAAGGGTCCATGTTATCAGTTCAGTCAGTTCAGTTGCTCAGTCGTGTTTGACTCTTTGCGACACAATGAACCGCAGCACACCAGGCTTCCCTGTCCATCACCAACTCCCGGAGTTCACCCAAACCCATGTCCATCAAGTCGGTGATGCCATCCAACCATCTCATCCTCTGTCATCCCCTTCTCCTCCTGCCCTCAATCTCTCCCAGCAGCAGGATCTTTTCAAATGAGTCAGCTCTTCACATCAGATGGCCAAAGTACTGGAGTTTCAGCTTCAACATCAGTCCTTCCAATGAACACCCAGGACTGATCTCCTTTAGGATGGACTGGCTGGATATCCTTGCAGTCCAAGGCACTCTCAAGAGTCTTCTCCAACACCACAGTTCAAAAGCATCAATTCTTCAGTGCTCAGCTTTCTTTATAGTCCAACTCTCACATCCATACATGACCACTGGAAAAACCATAGCCGTGACTAGATGGACCTTTGCTGAAAAAGTAATGTCTGCTTTTTAATATGCTGTCTAGGTTGGTCAGAACTTTCCTTCGAAGGAGTAAGCGTCTTTTAATCTCAAGGCTGCAATCATCAGCTGCAGTGATTTTGGAGTCCAGAAAAATAAAGTCAGTCACTGTTTCCACTGTTTCCCCATCTATTTGCCATGAAGTGATGGGACTAGATGCCATGATCTTAGTTTTCTAAATGTTGAGCTTTAAGCCAACTTTTTCATTCTCCTCTTTCATCAAGAGGTTCTTTAGTTCTTCTTCACTTTCTGTAATAAGGGTGGTGTCATCTGCATATCTGAGGTTATTGATATTTCTGCCAGCAATCTTGATTCCAGCTTGTGCTTCCTCCAGCCCAGAATTTCTCATGATGTACTCTGCATATAAGTTAAATAAGCAGGGTGACAATATACAACCTTGACGTACTCCTTTTCCTATTTGGAACCAGTCTGTTGTTCCATGTCCAGTTCTAACTGTTGCTTCCTGACCTGCATACAGATTTCTCAGGAGGCAGGTCAGGTGGTCTGGTATTCCCAACTCTTTCAGAATTTTCCACAGTTTACTGTGATCCACACAGTCAAAGGCTTTGGCATAGTCAATAAAGCAGAAATAGATATTTTTCTGGAACTCTCTTGCTTTTTTGAGGATCCAGCGGATGTTGGCAATTTGATCTCAGGTTCCTCTGCCTTTTCTAAACCAGCTTGAACATCTGGAAGTTCACAGTTCATGTATTGCTGAAGCCTTGCTTGGAGAATTTTAAGCATTACTTTACTAGTGTGTGAGATGAGTGCATGTTATAAAAGAAGTCAAAAGTAGTCGAGTAATTGGACACTCTGCTAGATTGTCTAATGTCAATTTGTTTTCTGGCATTGCTACTACGTCTTCTTCCTTGTCGTCTGGTACTGGTTCAGAAACACTCATCTCCATCAAGTTGTTCTCTGTAATTCTCTGGTGTGGTGTCTATTAGCTCTTGAGTTTCTCCAAGATCCATCTCTTAAAACACTCACCCCTTCCAATTATTTCTTTCTTTTTTCTTTTTGTCATATCCACAATCCATTTCATGATTTATTTGATTGGCTCTGTAATAAATCCTGTGAAGTCATGCACAACATCTGGACACAGTTTTCTCCATCAGAAACTTATTGGTTGGGGCTTAATGGCTTTTTATATAACAATGATGACATCTCCAATGGTGTAATTCTTCTACACTTTTATGACACTCTATCGTGGATCTCTTCCATAGCACTGGCAAACTTTTCCATATAGTACTGTGTGTGTAATGAGCTTTAAAGGATCTTATGACCCTCTGATCTATAGGCTGAATTAGAGACATTGTGTTTGGGGGCATAAATCACTCACCTTTGATGCCTTCAGTATTGAACTAATGGGGTTCTGGACCACCAGGGGCATTGCCCAATATCAGAAGAACCCTAGAAGGCAGTCCCTTACTGGCAAAGTATTTCTTGACTTCAGGGACAAAGTATTAATGGAACCAATCCACAAAAAAGGGTTTTCATCCAGTTCTTCTTCCTGTACAACCAAAAGAATGGCAGATGGTGTTTATCCTCTCTTGTCAAGGCTGAGGGGTTAGCAGCTCTATAGGTAAAGGCAGTCCTATTCATAAACTGAAATCCATTTGCACAAAACTGAAGAGTCATCCTATCCCTTTCTTCCTTAAATCCTGATGTTTGCTTCTGTTCATTACTAATAAAAGTCCTTTGTGGTATTTTCCCCTCAGGATACGGCACTTCTATATTTTAAAAACCTGCTCAAGAAGGTATCCTTTCTCCTCAGTGATTTTCTTAATGGTATCTGGGGACTTGTCTGCAGTCTTCTCAATGGCAGAAGTTGCTTCTGCTGTTATCTTGACATTTTTATAAGTTAACCTCTTTCTAAAATGATCAAACCATACTTTGTGGGTCTTCACCTTGCTTTCACTTTGCCATATACTGACATTGCTTTATTTTGAATATAGAGTCTATAGGTGGAGACTTACTAATATCCTGCACCTACACAGAATTTTTCAATATGATATTAAATTTTCAATTTAATTTTCAATTAATCTCAATTTTCAATATGAGATTTTTAAAAAAGTTATTTCACAAAAAGTGGAAGGTTTTTAGGTTTGCTGTTAGCCACAGCAATGACTTTCCAAGTTTCCTTTTTTTTTTTACAATGGATTTTTATACTGGATTTATCTTGAAATGGCAGGTATATGTAATGTCATTCTTGTAATGTAACAACTTTTCCCTGCTTCTTGGGAGCACTTCCAGCATCATTAGTGGCATTTCAAATCAGTACCATGATGTTACAGTAATACAAGGTTTACAGTATTGCACTAATATGAAAAATACACAAAAACAAGGAAAAATCACTTTTTACTGTGATACATAATTTGCTGGAGACAAACTGCTCACACAAACATGATTAACATCACACAGTGTTTCAAACAGATCCTTCCAACACTTCCCTCACTGCCATAGCAACAGGTGTGTTGTGTGCCCAATCCCTGAGTCGTGTCTGCCTCTTTGCAACCCTATGGACTATAGGCCATCAGACTCCTCTGTCCATGGGTTCTCCAGACAAGAACATTAGAGTGGCTTGCCACATCCTTTTCTAGCAGATCTTCCCAACCTAGGGATTGAACCCAAGTCTATGCTGTCTCCTGCACTGGCAGATGTTTTTGTTTTTGTTTTTAACCACTGAGCCACCTGAGAAGTCTGCAACAGGAGGTGCCTGCAAAACAGAAGTGATCGTACACAACTCAGGAAGACTATATCACAAAAGGTATTGCATGTTTCTTCCTTATCTCTCTCTTGGATTATTCACTGTGAAAAAATCCAACTGCTGCACTGATGCCCACACAGAAGGAATGAAGTAGTCCTACCAAAAGCAATGTGATTCAGCAATGTTACAAGTGAATGCTACAACACAGTCAAACCTTCAGATGATTCCAGTCTCATCAGACTTCCTGGCTCCAATATTCTCAGAACTGCTGTGCCAGAGCTATTAGCTAAACTACACACAAAGTTCTCACACCTACAAACTGCAAGGAAATTAACGTTTGTTGGTTTAAGCCACCATATTTGGGGGCAATGTTTTCTTTTTCTTTTTGGTCACTCCAGACGGTTTGCAGGATCTTAGTACCCTGACCAGAGACTGAACCCAGACCCCTGGCAGTGAAAGTGTGGAGTCCTAATCGCTGGACCACTGGGGCAATTTTTTACACAACAGTAGATAGCTCATAAACATACTTGTATTGAAAACAAAAGTATTAAAATTTTTAAAGCAATTCTAAAAAATATACTAGATGATAATCCTTTCCAATGGTAACCAGAAAAACATATTTGTAGAACAGGTCAACGAGTATTTAAAAGGATTCAAGATATAGACAGCTTCTCTGTTAAAACTCTTAAATGACCTCTACAGAAAAGGAGACATTTAAAAGCTGAGTGTCAATTTCTAGCATGAAACTCTGAGCTTCAGGGGGTTTCTGAGCTTGAGGAAAATATGTGACCACAAGGTGGCAGTAACATACAATGAGCTTTATTTGCGTGCTACTTTAATAGACTTGTATGAATGATGGGGTATGTGGAAGTTATTCAGAGCATGAGACCTTTCAGAGGCCCATCAATCAGAAGGATAAGAGGGCAAAAGAACTCCCAGGAAAAAAAGGGACTAGGAGAAGGGACTTATTGTCGAGATGGTATCACTCAACAGCAAGATGGGGCATCTGGTTCAGAAAGCTGTGAAGGGCATCAGTGGCTCGGGCATCATTCATACTACCAGGGTTTACCTTATTTGTGGCCAACAGATTTGTAAGTGCAGTTTTTCAAAGTATACAAATCAGGCAAGCCCTAAAAGGCTAAAAAATATGCTTATCAGGGCACATTTAAAGCAATTGTGTACAATGTATTATTTGTAAAATGTGTTAATAACTGAGTTAAACACTGGTGGGCTTTCATGTTAGGTATTCTGGCCTGCTGTGAAGGAAAAAATGTAGGATCAATGTACTGGGACTATCTTTGGCTTATTTATATAACAGCATACCCTACCACTTCATATGTTGACAATCTTGGTAAGTTGTTTAATAGAAAATGTCATTCAATACAACATAACCTTTTTCCAACTTAGGTCACAGGGATTCTTCATTGGGCTCTCTATAGGTTAAATAAATTAAATAAGGATTAAACTCTGATCTTAGAGAAAAAACTTGAAAGGTTATTTACAGACAACCAACTAAGTTTCACGTTAAATCTTGTATTTGTTTTCTATTCCTGACTAGAATTACCATGAACATAAAAGCTTTAAATAACACACATGTATTTGATCATGTTATCTGTGTGCCAAGGATCCGGGACACCTTAGCTGCCTCCACTTAAGAGTCTCACTAGACTGTAATCAACATGTTGGCTAGGCTATACTCTCATATGAAGGAATAGTTAGGAAAGAATATACTTCCAAGTTCATTCAGGTTGTTGACAGAATTTACGTTACTGAATTGAAACCAAAGTTCCAGACATTTTGCTGGCTGCCAGCAGGAGACTGGTGCACACAGTATCTGTTTCCCATGTGTCATCCCAACATACTGCTTATATTTTCAAAACAGTAATGAGTTTCTTCCTGCAGTCTGATAAGACAGTTTTATATAACATGATATAATCATAGAAGTGATTTTGGATCATATAATATAACCTAATCAAGCCAATGACATTCCATCACCATTGGCATTGTTTACAATTTGCTATTGGTTAGAAGTTACAGGTACTGTGTGCACACAAGGGGAGGGGAATAAAAAAGACATGAACACTAGTAGACAAGAAATCATTAGGGGTTACCTTATGGTTTGTCTGCTACAACTTTTTTTTTTTTAATTGGAATAAGAGAGTCTGTTACTTACACATGCTATCTCCCAGGGCTTCCCTGGTGGTTCAGACAGTAAAGAATCCACCTGCAATGCGGGAGACCTAGGTTGATGCCTGGGTTGGAAAGATCCCCTGGAGGATGGTATGGCAAACCACTCCAGTATTCTTGCCTGGAGAGTCCCCATGGACAGAGAAGCCTGGTTTAAGAAAATACCCAACTACTATCAATTTTATATACATATTTGTATGTAAATATATATATATATATAAGCACACACACATATACACTTGTGCCTCTGTTGTTAAATGGGCTTCCCAGGTGGCCAAGTGGTAAAGAAGACATCTGCCATTTGTAAGAGATATAAGATATAAGCCCATAAGAGATGGGATCTTTCCCTGGATCGGAAAGATCCCCTGGAGTAGAAAATGGCAACCCACTCCAATATTCTTGCATGGGAAACCCCATGGACAGAGGAGCCTGGCAGGCTACAGTTCATGGGGTTGCAACAAGTCAGACTGAGCGGTTGAGTACATACGTAGACAGTTGTTACATATGACATGTATTCTTGGGAGAGGCCAGTGTCAGTTTAAGCCCTTGCAAGAGACTGAACCATACAAAATGGAGGCTGAGGAAGCAAAATTGCACAGTAGTTTAAATGTTCAACATATGAAACTAATCCTCACAGCAATCAACTTCATAATACTATATCTCGTTCTATACATTTTATAAAATACACCGATAAAAGGAATATAGAGAAATACAAAAGTTTGGGGGAACCAAATAAGAAAATGTATAACAGAATATCATTTATAAAAAGTTTGAAAATATAGGATTATGTCATTACATCAATTAAATATGTTTTATATCTATATGATACCTTGCACTGAATCATTTTAAAAAATTAAGATCTCATAGTTGTTAAATTAATTTGACTAATGGAAAACTGATGCTCAGAGGAGCCTCAAGCTAAAGAATAAGTTCTGCAAAAAGATTATTTATAATGTATTTTTTGGTCACTAATTTCAACAGTCAATCATACAAAATAACTGAAATTATTTAGTAGGTAGACAGTGTACTAACTGCTTGGATCAAGTCTGGAATACTATTAATTCTACAGATAAATTTGAGAATTGGCATCCTTACTATTGATGAGTCTTCAAATCCATAAAGTACGTTTCTCAATTAATTGACTGTTTTTTAGTTTTCCTTCCCATTTATGTCACCAGAGAGCTCTGAGTAGAGTTTTCTTTGCAATACTCAAGGTTCACATTAGTTATCTGTTTTACATTTAGTAGTGTATATATGTCAATCCCAATTTCCCAATTCATCCCAGACCACCCCTTCACCATTTCCCACCTTGGAAAACATGTCAGTTTTCTACATCTGTGACTCTTACTTCTGCTATGAAAATAAGTTCATCTGTACCATTTTTATAAATTTCACATATAAGTGATATTATACAATATCTGTCTTTTTCTTTCTGATTTACTTCACTCTAAATGACAATCTCTAGGCCTACGCAAATGCCATTACCTCGTTCCTTTTTTTTACAGCTAAGTAATGTTCCATTGTATTAATGTACCACTTCTTTATCCACTCCCCTGCTGATGGACATTTAGGTTGCTTTCATTTCCTGGCTGTTGTAAATAGTGTTGTAATAAACACAAGGGTACACGTATCCTTTAGAATTATGGTTTTCTCCAGATATATGCCAAGGAGTGGGATTGCTGGGTCATATGGTAGCTCTGTTTTTAGTTTCCTAAGAAGCTTCCATACTATTCTACACAGTAGCTATACAAATTTACATTCCCACCAACAGCACAGGAGGATTTAGTTTTCTCCACAAGCTCCCCAGCATCTATTGTTTATAGATTTTATGACAGCTATTCTGACTGGTGTGAGGTCATATACCTCTCACTATAGTTTTGATTTGTATTTCTCTACTAACTAGTAATGCTGGGTGATTGATTTCCTCCACAAAAATTTACAAGTTGAAAGATTATTTAAAAACAAATTTTAATTGATTCATAAATATGGGTTTATTCAAATAATATATTTTGAGGGAGGTTAAACTAGTTGGTGTCTTAATATCTTTAAATGTCTTTACAATTTGTAATAATGTCACTTATTTTATTCATGATATTGATAATTTTATCATCTCTTTTTTCTTGGAGATTATAGCAGGGAGCTTATCAAATTACTTGATTTTTAAAAGGTTTGCTTACCCTCACTAACACCAATGGACACATCATCTACACTGAAAACTAATAATGAAACACAAGCCTTAAATGACACATAAGACCTTATAGATTTAACTGTGATATAAATCCTGTGATTTATAGGACATTCCATCCAAAAGCAGCAGAATACACTTTCTTCTCAAGTACACATGGGACATTCTCCAGGGATTACAATCTGGGCCACAAATCAAGCATCTGTAATTTAAGAAAATGGAAATCATATTAAGTAGCTTTTCGAACCACAATGCTATGAAAGTAGAAATCAATTACAGGGAGGGGGATATAAAAAACACAAACACATGAAGGATAAACAATATGTTTCTAAATGACCAATGGCTCACTGAAGAAATAAAAGAGGAAATCAAAAATACCTAGAGATAAATGACAACAAAAACACAATGATACAAAACCTATGGGATGCAGCAAAAGTTCTAAGAGGAAAGTTTATAGAAATATAATTGTACCTCAGCAAACAAGAAAAATCTCAAATAAGTAGCTTAACCTTATACCTAAAGCAACAACAACAAAAAAGAACAAACAAAACTGAAATTTAGCAAACGCAGACAATTCATAGCAGAAATAAATGAAATGGAAATGAAAATAACAATAGCAAAAATCAATGAAAAACAAAAGCTAGTTTTTTGAGAAGATAAAATTGATAAATCTTTAGCCAGACTCATCAAGAAAAAAGGAGAGAACTCAAATCAATAAAATTAGAAAAGAAAAAGGAGAAGTTACAACTGACACCACAGAAATACAAAGGATCATAAGACAATACTACAAGAAACTATATGCCAACAGAACAGACAAACTAAAAGAAATTGATAAATTCATAGAAATGTCAAATTCACAGAAAAGCAGGGAATGCCTTTGAAGGAAAGCTGGGCAGCCACGCTGAGTCACACAATGGGTAGAGCCACCACTGTAGCCTCTCTCTCTCCACACACCAGAACCAGCAATTGAGCAATAGTGAAAGTGAAAAGTCATTCATTCGCGTCTGACTCTTTTGGACCCCATGGACTGTACAGTCCATGGAATTCTCTGGCCAGAATACTGGAGTGGGTAGTCTTTCCCTTCTCCAGGGGATCTTCCCAACCCAGGGATCGAACCCATGTTTCCTGCATTGCAGGCGGATTCTTTACCAGCTGAGCCACAAGAGAAGCCCAAGAGAAAGATGCTAAAAAAAGGTGGCCCTTGAGTGCCTGATGCACTGAGTAATAGACAAGGACGAGCCAGGGAAGCTCTTTGAGCACCAGCTGCCAGAGGCTAGAAAAGAATCCGAACAGAGTGATACTTCCTGCACCTGTGACCACCAACTTCCCTGCGCTTCTGATGCCACTGGGGTCCCTACAATCCAAGCAGCTCTGCAACCTTCACACCCAGAACTTACTGGGTCAACCCAAGTTTTCCACAGCAGCATCCAGAGGAAACTCCTATGAGTAACCCATATGTAGAGGTAGGAATAAAACTATAATTGAGCACCAGAAGCAGAGAGACTAAGGCAGAAATTAAAAAACTTTTCCATCAACTGAACAAGCTGCAGACTAAATCCACACGATCAACTGTGTAGCCTCTGTGTCTGAAGAACATATAAAAAGACAATGAGTGTTTCCACAAAAGAAAACATTATAGCTCTGTCACCTATGGACATTGGAGGCAAGCACACATGGGAGTAGGGTCAGATTAGAGTCCAAGCTGTAACCACAGGGACCACAGCAGGTCCAGAGACTAGCACTCCTAGCACTGAAGGTCTTCCTAGGGAGGCAGAAATGGGCTGTGGCTCACAAAGGGGACAAGGACACTAACAGTTGAGACCCTAGGAAAACATTTATTATTATTTTTTGTTTGGATTCATTGTTATTGATTCTGGATTTCTTATTCTTTCATTTTTGCTCCCTTCTTTTTTCTTTGTTATTGTGGTTGTTTTTATTATGATTATTTCTACTTAGGCTCCTGGGAACTGTTTTCTAATTACACTTTTATTTCCTTAATACATTTCTCCGTCTACTTTGGCCTTCTGCTCTTCTATGTATTCAGGGGTGTTCTCTATTTGTTGGAGCTTTTCTTTAATATATATGGCTCTTTTTTATATTCTTCTACTTAACTTTGCCTTTTTATTTTTCTCACGATTTTTCTTTATGTGTTTTGTTTTACTTGCTTTATTCCTCACTTGGCACTCGGGTTTCATTTCACGTTCTGTTTTGTGTTTCAGTTTTGTTTTTAATTGGTTGAAATCATGATTAGTTTCTTTGTTTCCGGGTCACTCTCTTGTTTAGTTTCTTTTGTTCTCCGGGTCACTCTCTTGTACTTTTGTCTTCTTTGGTCTTTCTTTTTTCTTTGTTTCTATGTATATATCTGTGTGTGTTATGTTCCTTTCTTTTTGTTTCTGTTTGTCTGATTTTGCTTTTACTATTTGTCTGGGCTTTGTTTTTCATTTCTTCTACTGGGTTTATTGTACGTTTGTTTTAATCCCCTTTATTGATATAACAAATGGCTCATGTGGTCTTGGTATACTGACCAGAAGTCGGGCCTGACCGTCTGGAGTTGGAGTTCCCAGTTCAGGAAGCTAATGCCAGAGTAATCCTGACCTCAAAGATCATTAATCATGAGAACTTCTACAAAGGCTTCCATCTGAATCAAAGACCTGAAAACACAAAACTGAGGGCTGGACACCTCACCAAAACAACAAGTAAGACAGTAATATAAAACCAATTATGAACAGACAGGCTGACAGAGACACCACAATACACATCACCTCACAAAGTCCTGCCCATCAGAAGGGGGAAAAAACTAACATCGACCCACCAGAACACAGGAACAAGTGCCTCCCAACACAAAGCCTACACAAGAAACTAGATGAACCTCACCCACCAGAAGCAGAGACCAAAAGCAAGAAAAAGTATGAACATATAGCCTGAAGAAAGAAGACCTCAAACACAGTAACTCAGACAAAATAAAAATACACAGAAATATCATGCAGATAAAGAAATAAGGTAAAATCCCACAAGACCAAATAAAGAAAGATGAAATAAACAAACTACCTGAAAAAGAATTCAGAGTAATGATAGTAAAGATGATTCAAACTCACAAAAACAGAATGGAGAAAATGAAATAATCATTTAACACATTTAACAAGGACCTAGAAGAAATGAGAAATAAGCAAACAGTAATGAACAACTTAATTACTAGAATTAAAAACATCTTAGAAGAAATCAATACCAGAATAACTGAGGCAGAAGAATGGAAAAGCAAGCTGGAAGACAGAATAGTGGAAAAAACTGCTGAAGAGGAGAATAAAGAAAACAGAACAAAAAGAACTGAAGATAGTCTCAGAGACCTCTGGAACAATATTTAATGCAACAACATTCTAATTATTTGGGTCCCAGAAGAAGAATCAAAAGAGAAAGGGTCTGAGAAAACATTTGAAAAGATTAAAATGTCAAAACTTTTTTGAACAGTCAAAAACTTCCCTAAGACGGGAAAAGAAATAATCAAGTCCAAGAAGCACAGAGAGACCCATACAGAAAAAACCCAAGGAGAAACACACTGAGATATATAATAATCATAGAAATAAAAATTGAACACAAAGAAAACATATTCAAAACAGCAAGGGAAAAGCAACAAGTAACATAAGTAACATACAAGGGAATCCTCATAATGTTGAGAGCAGATCTCCCAGGAGAAATTCTGCAGGCCAGAAGATAGTGACAGGATACATTTAAACTACTGAAAAGGAAAACATACAATCAAGTTTACTCTATCCAGCAAGGATCTAACTCAAAATCAATGAAGAGCTGTCTACAAGAGACCCATCTCAAAACAAGGGACACATACAGACTGAAAGTGAAGGGCTTGAAAAAATATTTCATGCCAACGGACACCAAAAGAAGGCAGGAGTCGCAATACTCATATGAGATAAAATAGACTTTAAAATAAAGGCTGTGAAAAGAGACAAAGAAGGACACTACATAATAATCAAATGATCAATCCAAGAAGAAGATATAACAATTCTAAATATATATGCACCCAACATAGGAGAATTGCAATATGTTAGGCAAATGCTAACGAGTATGAAAGGGGAAATTAACAATAACACAATAATAGCGGGAGACTTTAATATCCCACTCACACCTACAGATAGATCAACTAAACAGAAAATTAACAAGGAAACACAAACTTTAAATGACACAATGGACCAGCTGGACCTAATTGATATCTATAGGACAATTCACCCAAAAACAATCAATTTCACCTTTTTCTCAAGTGCACACGGAACCTTCTCCAGAATAGATCACATCCTGGGCCATAAATCTAGCCTTGGGAAATTCA